AGAACTCCTGTAAATAATGGATGTAGCTTCGAGCTCCTGATCACCCGTCTGGGAGCGGGCTTACGGGCGTACGCATGGGAGGAAAGTAAACGGGATAAGAATACCCTGGCCCACCTGGTCAACAGGGTCGCGCTGCTGAAACAGGAGCTGATGAGGAACCCAGGCTGCAATGTTACGCGGGAAGCGCTCGCAGCTAAAGAGTTGCAGCTGAAAGCGTACCAGGAAGCACGGAGAGAGCGATTGCACCTACAGGCTGGGTTGTCGGAGGAGTTAACCGGCGAAATCGCATCGAAGCATTTGTCTGCAAAGGTTCGGGCAAGGAAAGCCCGCACGCAAATCAAGGAGCTGAAGGATGGGGGTAACACGGTGACCGGGGTGCAGCTGATTCTTGGTGCTGCGTCGGCTTTTTTCAACAACATCTTCGGCAAGGACCGTCGTACGGACTTCTCGAAATGGGTATTCAACCCGGGCCGGCGTCTGGGAAAGGAGGCAGATGAGATGTTAATGGCGGACTGGACAGAGCAGGAAGTAAAACCGGCGTTTACAACAATGGCGAGGAACAAATCACCTGGGGGAGATGGCCTCTTGAAGGAACTGTTTGAGTGTCATTGGGATCTGCTGGGGGGGAGTTTCATGGTGTTGGTTAAAAATCTTGAGAAGTCAGCTCAGAAGCTGGTGAAATGGAAGCAGAAATATCTGATTTTGATCTCCCATTTTGGAAATGGACAGAAAACATGGCACTGGAGCGCATTGCTGAGAAGCTGGTGAAATGGAAGCAGAAATATCTGACAACAACGGCATGAGCGTCGGTGATGAATTTCTACATCACCCCACTGATCGCTTTTCAGGCCCAGGTCTTCCCGCCACCTGCAGACATTTGGGAGGATCTGGTGTGGATGTTACACGGTTTCACGTCTGGGAACAGGGTATCAACGGCAAAAGGCTTCTTCCTCTGGAGCAAAGTGTTGCTGTATACCACAAGAGCAGCGGGCGGAATTGGGGTAAGAGACCCGGAGATCGTAATTACCTGCCTGGCGGCGAGAAGGGTGGGGCTGTACGTCACGAAAAGCAATGGAGCGGGTGGCGAAGCTTCCTTTGGGAGTGGAGTCTTTCAGAGCTCACGAAAAGTTGTTAAAAACTAGGAAGGCGGCAGCATCCGGTGGAAATAGACATACGAGAGCCTCTCTGGTTCGCCGCTGTGTTTGCGTACACCGGCTACATCGAAGGAGGAAATTCTGCAGGAACAGGTGGTCTTCAACAAGAACATACTGTTGCGTGGCACCATGCCGATTGGAGGCCAAAGGGACGCCTGGAAGCTGTGGGACTTGCGGCTGAGGGATTTGTTCACGAGTAGTGAAGATGGGGAGCTGTCGCAGTAATCCTTGACGGACCTAACGGATCATTTGGGCAGCAGCGGCCCTGCAAAGCTGGCGCTAAAGGCGGTGGGAGCTCTCCCTGCAAGGTGGTACAGAGAGCCGGGGTTTCCGCTTGTGCTCCCTCGCTCGGCTGACTCTCTTCAGCTGCTGAACATCCTGGAGGATGGCCAAGGAACATCATGAAGCGGATGAGGGAGGGGTGGAAGGAGGCCCAGAAGGAGTCATACAAGCGCGCAAAGTGGGCGGCAAGATGGGGAGGAAACATCAACTGGAAAAGAGTTGTTAGCTCGCGGGCCTCCTTGGCAGTTCCCAACCGTCCATGTGACGTGCTCACTCGGATCCAGAGTCTGAATCTGCAGGTGAAAGAGCGCCTGGCTTTCCTCAGCAGTAAGCTAGTTTGCGCGTACTACGGGGAGCCTGAGACGCTGGAGCATTGTTTGGTTCTTTGCCCCAGGGTTCAAGTGGTTTCCACATCTCTTCGGCGCGCTTTGGGCATGCTGAATCCTGGCCGCACAACAGACTCGCTGGGTGATCTTCTGTTCCGGGATAACGGCACCAGCTCAGCTTTTCCAGGGCTGACGTTAACATCGATTGTACTACACTAGTTGTGGCTTGAGCGGTGCGAAGCTGTCTTCAGGAGACAGAAATTCCGGACCTAACGGGTCTTACGTCAGATTGAGGTGGCTTTCCGACAGCACGTGAAACTGTACATTTACAAGTTCGGGCCGACGTGGCCAGGGCCCAAAATATCAGGGTAAAACGCCCTGATTACCTTGGGGGCCGGCCGCTTTTTCAAGATTACCCTGCCAAAATCAGGATTCCACGATAGTTACCCTTTTGCAAAAAGAGCATGTTTTTTTTTTACACTGATAGGATTTATGGTTACCCTGACGGTGTCAGGGTTGGGTGTACACTACCCTGATACCGAAACCTTTTTACCGCGGATCAGGCCATACTCCGAGTTGTGACAAACTGTACCACACCCACACAAACAATCGTTGTCGCTTGTGACACGCCATGTCGCCTCAATGGTTGTTTCTCCCACAGAGGTGCCAACGCACCTTTGAATCCAGCCACACGTCGCCACGCCACGCTCACAAACTAGTTTTCGAAAGAAGATTAGCCGAAAACTACCCTGCTCAAATCAGGCTAGAGGTTGATTTACCCTGTTGCGAACAGGGTACGGAAATTTTTACCCTAGGGGTCTGGTTAAGGAGGGGTCTGGAACCCTGATTTGTAAGGGTAGGCCTAAACCAAATTTGGGCCCTGGACGTGGCGCAAGCAGAGGCAGCAAGGTTCATCGGAAGAATGGAACATGCTTGGGAGAATCAAAATGGACGGCATGTGTCTGAAGTGGACGAACAGTTTTGCAGCAATTTGGTCGGCGAGGAGGGTCAGGAACATCAGACCCTAGGAATTTTATCTGAAGCAAGAAGTCCCCTCTAGTTCCTCACGCACGGTTACAACCGTTCTTGTCAGTATATACTTGCTCTTAGGTGTATACTTTCAGCCTGCTGGCCGTAGATTAGTCGAGTTTTGTTTTATACAGCAGTCGGGTCAGGTTCGGGATGACCACCCTCTCCCCTTCCCGTTCCAGTTGACTATCGAACAAGACATCTTCTTGGTGGGGAAAGGCTAGTGTTTGACTGGTGTATGATGACTTGGCTTCGCTATTTCTTGAGATGCACTAGGCTTCCATTCCATACAAGGCTGAAACCTTTCGTTCGTTGCACGATATCCTCCGCGCCGCGGTACAGTACAGTTCCATCCCTCGCAGATCGCGGTACACCCTGTTTTGCGCCACACTGACATTCGCCATATTGACAAGCCGGTTGTACTGACATCAATGCGTCCAAATTGGTCCCAGAACAACATACCGTATAAGCACTTTTGCCACACGAAACCGAACTCAAAAGCACGTTTGTTTTCATAAACCGTTGTCTACCGTTCTCCTGAAGCATTTTGGTTGCAAGCACCAGCCCGCTGAATCCAAGCACACGTGCGCACTGTAGCCAGGGCTCCCGATTGTTCAAACATCGAGAAACAGGGTGTACGATGTCAATGACCCATGATTGCGCTAGACCCCTAGGCAAGTCTGCAGTCTGCAGTCTCGTCTCGTCTTACTGTTTGCAATATCCAATATTGATGGACCACAGTCACTCACAATCATGCAAGTCCCATTCTTTGTCAATTGTTTGGTTGATGATGGATCACGCCGCACAGTCATAGGGCATTTCTGCCAGCCGAGCTATGCGACGGATTGGCTCATGATCTACGCAGCCAATGACAAATCGCATGTACACGGTTTAGGGTGAGGAGATACACGTGACAGCTGTCACGCCAGGAGCCGAACACCTTGAAGGTGGAGTGGGTGTCGCTAGTGCCTTGTCGTTTACCCGCCGCAAATAACTCTCGTTTGAAGCAGACAGTGCGAAAAGGCGGCGTTCGTGCCTTCCCCTTGTCAGGGTGACGAATCGCAAACTCTCAAACTCGCAAACTCGGATAGGTGGTTTGTGGATCAAAGCACCGTCGTGGGGTAATCGACACAGCCAATGGCATCGCCTATTATCCGCGGAAATATTATCACGGCTGGTACTGCCCGACACCTTCAAATGGGTGCATCTCAAAAATGCTGAACCGTCTGTTAACGGTGGTGGCGATATTTCGAATATCACAGGCTTTGGGGAGGGGGTGTAAACTTCTATCCACAGGCTGATGTGGCAAATGCTCGTTTTTGGTTGTGTTTTGCCTGTTTTTCACTTGTGTTTGGCAGGGAATCAGCCGTGGCAGCGTAGGATATCGTGTCGCGCTCCTTGACATTTCACATCAACGACCCAAACTCCAACTTTTTTTCGTGCGGTCGAGATCGATTTCGATTTGGCGTAATGTTGTCGTTGTAATCGGAACTAGTCAATGATTGTACAATTTTTGGGGGAAACCCCAGTGTTTGCAAGCAGGAAACGTGGCATTTTTTTCGTGAGGGAAGATTTTGTGACGCACGTGTCTGGTGTTTGCAAGAACGTGGTCATAAACAGCCGTTTCTAGAGTACGTAAGCAAGAAGGTGTGTGTCACGGTTCTTGAAATCTCGTGACGCCTTGGTCATACGAAGTCAAAACGCACTGTAATATTTGAAGGAAGTGCGTGGTTTCTTCCTATTGGTCGCGTCAAATCCGGTTCTCCAAGCAGCACTTTTTCGCTGGCCAATATTTCGCAACGACCGTATTGGCTAACGGGAATGTCGCAACGTCACTCAAAGTTCAAAATTCGCAAAGTGTAAAATTCGTGATGCGATTGGAAATGTGTGAGTGAAATGCGCAGCTCGTTAGTGCGCGTCCTTTTTTCCTCGGGGGGAATGCGGTGCAATACGACGCTGCACGATTTTAAACGCTTTAATATACAACTAATTCGGTTACGATGGGTATCGATTGAGAATGATACTAGAATGACGCGCCCTAATGCACACCCCTTCGAATTGAACCTGAATCTCAGCACATCTCACGACAACTATGTGTTCACGCGCTTCACATCACCTCAACCAGGGGGGTATAATATTGATGCAAATCACTCATGCTTTGTTTTTTTTTTGCCTTCAGTACACAGAAATTAGTCCTGCATCCGCCACTATGGAATGCCTAGACTGTAGTTCGAGGCCTTTCTACGTGTATTCTGCTCTAGAATCGTATAGAGGTAGTGCGGCTTGCAGAATAGCTGCTGCATCCAGAGGCGCAGAGGCGTCAGATTCCCCACCAATCCAACCCCCCGCTCAACGTCGGCGCGTGTGGAGTCCTTCCAGCAGTGAAAACGTATTCATACCACCTACGTTTGATGAGCCAGCCGATGAGGACGGTGTGGAAGCGGCAGCCGCTCGTGCCGCCGATGATCCGGAGGCATTCATGGCACGCATGAGTGACTCGAATGGGATAGCGGAAGTTTCTCAGATTCCCAACGGATCTAATCCGCGCCCCGCAGCTCCATTCTCCTTCAAGGACGAATTGGCACGCTGGATTCTCTAAGAGCGTATATCTCAACGTTCGGTAGCTAGATTATTTAAGATTCTTAGCCATGAAGGCATGTCGTGGGCGGACGTTGCGGAATGGAGATCTTTGCGAGATGTGTACCGACATGTGCAATCGAGAGTGGCTGACTGTGAGCGTTCGTGGAAGAAGGGGGTTACTCGCGTTGGAACAAAGGCATTTTTGACCTTTTGGTACTGTGATAGCTTGAAAGTATGTTGGAGTGTTAGCTCATGTTTTTTTCAGCGCCCCTCTAATCCCTCGTTCCGACATGGCTAAACATTTGCAGGCCCTACAAGATCTGTTGAGTGAACCGAGACTTGGCCATCCGCTTGTTACACGTGCACATAGAAAGAGGGTGAGGGGCGTGAGGGTGTATGACGCTCCCGAAACCGGCAATTTTTGGAACGACGTGCAAGTGAGTGCCTCCCCATTCTGCTATGCACCTATCCCTGACCGTTCATAAAGTTTCCAGCACACCCCCTCTCTCCCTGCTCCCCATTCTGCTATGCCAGCCTCCCTACCTCTCTCTCACCATCGTGTTTTTTTTTCCAGCACACTTCCTCTCTCCCTGCTATCCATTCTGCGATTCCTGGCTCTCCCTTCCTCTCCCTCACCATCCTGATGCATTTCCAGCACATCCTCTCTCTCCCGGCTATGCCCGCCTCTCCCAACCTCTCTCTCACCGTCTGCATTGTTTTTCAGCACACCCACACTCTCCCTTACTCCCATTCTGCTATGCACCTCTCCCTGAACGTCCTAAATTCTTCACGCATACCCTCCCTCTCCTTGCTCCCTGTTCTGCTATAACAGGCTCACCCAACTTCTCCTTAACCATCCTAAAATTTTCCAGCACACCACGTCTCTCCCTGTCCTGATTCTACTATGCCCGCCTCTCCCACCCTCTCCCTCACCGTCATATTTTTTTCCAGCACACCACCTCTCTCCCAGCTCCCCATTCTGCCATGCCCGCCTCTCCCAACCTCTCCCTCAACGCCTTTTGTTTTTCCAGCACACCCACTCTCTCCCTGCTCCTCATTCAGCTATGCCAGGCTCCCCCTGCCCCTCCCTGACCATCCTAATTTTGTCCAGCACTCTTTCTCTCTCCCTGCTAGTCATCCTGCCAAGCCCGCCTCTCCCAACCTCTCCCTGCTCCCCATTCTGCTATACCACAACCTCCCTGCCATCCCTTCTCTCTCCTGCGCTTCCCTCTTGCGCCTTGCCCCACATTCTGGTTTTCCAGTCCCTCTCTACCTCTCCCTGCCATTCCTTCTCTCTCCTGCGCTTCCCTCTCGCGCCTTGCCCCGCATTCTGGTTTTCCAGTCCCTCTCTACCTCTCCCTGCCATTCCTTCTCTCTCCTGCGCTTCCCTCTCGCGCCTTGCCCCGCATTATGGTTTTCCAGTCCCTCCCTTCCTCTCCCTGCCACACTCTCTGAGTTTCCAGCCCCTGGTAGACCCTCTGTTGCTCCACCGTATCACCCCTGCACTTCCCTCTCTCTCCCTGCCACACTTCCGTGAATTCCAGGGTCACAACGGCCTGTCCCTACCCCTTCTTTTCTCTCCTGCACTTCCCTTTCTCTCCCTGCCACACTCTCTGAATTTCCAGCCCCTCGTAAACCTGTCCTTGCTCCACTGTATCGCCCCTGCCATTCCCTCTCTCTCCCTGCCCTTCCTTGCGTGATTTCCAGCCACTCCCAACTTCTCCCTTCCACTCCTTTTTGCTCCAGCTCTCCCAAGCCTCCCCTAGCACCACTCTCTGTTTTTCCAGCCCCTCCTACCTTTACTTGCTCCACCATTTGTGCTCAGCACATCCCTATCTCTCAATGCCCTTACTCTAGATTAATATAGCTACTCGGATGTGAATTCATATTCACCTCCTTCTTCCAACCCAACCCCCAACAGGATCGCCTTGGCATCAACGACGTCATTGCCACTCTCATACTCTTGTCGGATGAGACAATAGCTGACGGTCGGGGAAAGGCCAAGGGTCATCCCATCTATATGTCATTGGGAAACATCCATCATGAGGATCGCTGGAAACCATACGGGCATCCGCTCATTGCAACGTTACCGGAGTTTCCGGCGGAGTACACGTCGGTTGACCGACTGCAGATCTTCCAGTATGTCTTGCGCCCCGTTCTTCAACCATTGAAAGATGCTTCACACGTGTAAGTGCCCCCATACTCATCCCCGACCTATCCTGCTCTCCATGCTCGCCACATGATGCACTTCCTTTCAACACTATGGGCCTTGCTTCTATGACTGCCCTCCTACTCATATCTCTCCTCTCCTTCTCAGGTTGCTGCCCCATGCTTTGCTCTTAGCATGCTTCCAACCTCGCTGCCCTTTTGCGTCCTTTACTTCCCTCCTCTCATCCCCCTACCCTCCTTCTCGGATTGCTGTGCCCATGCTTCCCTTCTCTCTAGTTGTCTTACCTCTTTGCCCCGTTGCCTACATTTCGATTTTTCAGGGGGACCCGTGTGCATGACCAATCTGGTCACGTTTTCACTGCCTACCCAGCACTATACGCCTATGTGGCGGACTACCCAGAGACGTGCAAACTCACCTGCACCAAGTCTTTAGGTACATTCTACCCCTGTTCCTTATGCAAGGTCCACAAAACTGAGTTAGATTCCTTCACGCAGAGAGACGAATATCGCTCATCCGAAGAACAAGATGTCATCTACAAGGCCGTCTCTGCACGGCAACGAGGGGGGCCTCACCCGCAAACCTACAGCACTCATCATGTGGAGGTAAGTGTAACCCAATCCACTGGTTTTTGCGTCATATACTATTCATGTTTCACTCGACACTCTCCTGTCATTCTCAACCCAATGCAGTGTGCGCTTCATGGCTTCCGTTTCGAGTCAGAGCCGTGGGGCAGCCCTTATATGGCGGTGATGCCAGACCTAATGCATCAGGCCGATCTTGGCATGCTGGAGCACATTATTGCCGCCTTGAGAGGGGTCATTGATCAAAAACACCACGTTGCCATTGACGAGTACGTTACATCGCTTGACACCATTTCTTTCTAGGATTCTACTGTGCATAAGACTAATGTATCTCTCTCTCCTTCGTTGCAGCATCTTGAAGCACCTGAAGTTGACATGTTGGGTTGATGGTTTGCGCCTACCATCTGGCGAGTATTTCCGTCTAGGTGCTTCGTTCCAAGCTTACGAGCACAGGTCTGTCATGCAAATCCTTCCGTTCCTCATTCGAGACTATGTGGCGAAACCACACATGGATGCCATTGTGGCATACATCAAGTGGTATCACACGTGTGGGAAGACGAGAGACTATGACAAGGAAACCTTGACAAAACACGAGGAACAATCCAAGAGGTACGTACGCCCCACATGTTGCATGTATATCATTGTAGTATGCCCTTTGACCTGACTATGACTTGTGTGATTGTATTTGCAGGTTAATTGAGCTTCTAAAAAGGAGCTTCCCTCTCTACAAATGGCGATTTATCAAGACCCACTTGATGAGTCACTACATCGACGCAATTCGCCGTGCAGGCCCTCCACTCCACTATGATGCAAGCATGTTTGAGCACTTTCACAAGGACCATATTAAGAGGCTCTACCATGCATCCAACAAGCGTGACGCTGGGGGGCAAATCATCCAAGCGGAGGAGGTCCGCTTGCATCTGGATTCGCTACCTCAAGCCGACTTGGACACTACACACGAATACAGTAATGCAATGTGTGAGGTACGTATATATTACAGTGACAAGCAAGCCTTACTTTTTGCATGAACGATGGTACCATCCTGATTTTTTTATAAACTGTGTACAGGCTTTGAGGACGGGAGCACGTACACTCTCTAAGAGTTCATGGGGGTTGATCGTTCACGCAAGACGTCGTGAGCACCCATACGTCGGATTCTCCAAGGCTGACCCAAAGCGAGACCGTTTGTATCTGGACAGTCTACATCACGACCTCCCATATCTTCGTCGTTCCATCGATCGCGACGTAACCAACGGCTCGAACATCGACACAATTTACGTACGTTACCCTAAGCATGCTTTTGCTTGTTTAACGCCTTGCAACAATTATGTTATGCTTTTACTAATGATACAATATGTGGCACGCAACTGCTGTACAGGTTCATGTTGAGTTGGCCATGCCTCCCGCGACGGACGAGGCTTTCTCTAGCACCCCACACCGTATCCGAGCGGTTCCGCTATTCCACAATAAAGTTTGGTTCAGTGATGCTGCAATTCAAGGTACAGGATCAGAGTGGTACAGCAAGGTTCTGCTACTATTCCATGTCGGCCATGGTCTAGATCGACGTGAATTCGCATTCGTGAGGTATTATATCAAACATGACGCGTTAGATGAATTGACCGGCTGCAGACAATTCAGTTTATAGGGGGTTTCTCAAAGGTACATGGTTGTAGAGACAGCTTCCATCCTTAGAGTTGTCCAATTTGTGCAGCTTGAGTCGGCAGGCCAGACATGGTTCCTCAACCATTTTCTGTTTTGATTGCCGTGTGTTGCATATTTGTATCTATTGTACACTGATATAAGTACTGTTTCATGAAGTAACAGGCTCCAAAATCGTGTATCTGCTTAGCGAGAGAAAAGAGTGTCGCATAGGAACTGATTTGACCTCGTTAGCACAACTACGCAGCACGTGACGCATGTTTGTGCGTTTACTGGCCTGAAAGTGCGCAAGGATAGGCCTGTGCGCAACATGACACTGCGCCAACGTCAAGATGCCTTTTTTACCACTATTTCTTCACACAGTTCTCTACTACATCCTTTTACCTAGCCATGGGAACTGATTTGATTGAACTCGTTAGCACAACTACGCAGCACGTGACGCATGTTTGTGCATTTGCTGGCATGAAACTGTGCAAGGATAGGCCTGTGCGCAACATGTCACTGCGCCAACGTCTGGATGCCTTTTTTACCACTATTTCTTCACACTGTTCCCGACTATATCCTAGTCCCTAGCCAGGGTTCACAGTGTCTTGAGACTCCCCTATCATTTTCAGGGCTTCATAACCTACGTTTGGCCTGTGGCGGACACTACAATCCAAACGCCGGAAACTCCGCACTAGCTTCTAGCTTCCCTTGCAAACGAATGCATGCAAAGCCTATCTAGCCTTATTGGATTGAACTACAACTGATAGGGGGGTCTAGACGTGGTGTATTGAGACCCCCTTATCATTTTCAGATCGTTATGACAACGTTTGGCCTGTGGCGTGCACTAAAAACCAAACGCCTGAAACTCTGCACTAGTTTCTGGCTACCCTTGCTGACAAATGCATGCGAGAACTGTCTAGCTTTATGATGCAATATGTGGCACGTAACTGCTGTACATATTCATCTTGATTTGGCCATGCCACCCGCGACGGGCGAGGCATTTAACAGCACCCCACACCGTATCCGAGCGGTTCCGTCATTCCGTAAGAAGGGTTGGTTCGATGATGGTTGCATTACAAGGTACAGGAACAGAGTGGTACGGCAAATTTCTGCAACAATTCCATGTCGGCCATGGTACAAATCGCCGCGAATTCACATTTGTGAGGTATTATATCGACCATGACGAGTAAGATGAGTTCAAGGGTTGTCAACAATTCAGTTTAGAGGGGGTATCTCAAAAGTACAGTGCAGTAGAGACAGATTCCATTCTTAGAGCTATACATTTTGTGCAGCATGACTCGGCACGCCAGACGTGGTTCATTAACAATTTTCTGTTTTGATGGCAGTGTTGTACAAACATGTATATATTGAGCACTGATTAGTGTCCAGTTGCATTTGAATTCTAGGCTCCTGATTAGTGTATCTACTTGGTGGGAGAAGGGAGAGTCGTGCGCATGATCTTGTGTTCTTATAATAGTGTGGATGTCGCCACGTTTGTTGGATTTCATCGTCCCAGACCACGTGGCGGCTATACCGTGGTCATCTCCTTGTAAAATGACCGCAGTGTGGTTGTGCGATTCGTCGCGAGCCCACGGCGTCGCCTGGCAACAGCAAAGGTGTCGCCAGGTACAGAGCTCGACCAGATGAGTCGCGACTCTCAACCACTTTCGTACGCCAATCAGGAGCTCCCCGTCAACATTTTCCAGATGTTAACGACTATAGAAATGGGTTGTGCGACACTTCAACTCACAGCCTTGTCCTTGTTTCTGCCGAGTATGGTGACCCCACGCCCTCATCCCTTTCCTGGAAGTGAGCCTACTACGGGCCGCCCTCAGAGACCAGTTGTGGTGCCTGCTAGGTACAACACTGGTACACTTGGTGTTACATCACCTGGGCGAAAGGCTAGTGTTACAGATGCAAATGAGGTTTCAGTCGGTAACCAACCTGACAACTCGATACTAAACCTGCATGGAATGTCGCCTGAGCATCTTCAGTTTTTGATGTCTCAAGTCAGTGCGGAGTTCACCCGCAAGAGCTCCTCCACTTCTGAGTCTGGCAACCTGCTCACGCCAGATCTCGTCAATCAGGAGCTCTCGTCTGACGAGGCCGATGCGGACGAGCCTGGCGCAGTTCGCAACCTTC